ATGTTCTTTATGTTCCTGATATTGATCAAAATTTATTAAGTGTTGGACAACTAATGGAAAAAGGATTTAAAGTATCCTTTGAAGATAAATATTGTTTCATTTATGATGCAACTGGACTTGAGATTTTAAGGGTTAAAATGAGAGGTAAAAACTTCTCATTTAATCCAACTGAAGATGAAGAATGGAGCCAAAAGAATCTACAAAGTGCAGATAATTCTCCAACTGAGGACATATGTGAAAATGAGGTAAGGAAGAAGTTGTCAATATTTCAGAAAATGCAAATCTGGAAGAAAGTTGACAAGTCTCAAGGCAAGATGCAAATGAAGCTGAAAAACGAGCCAACTTATTTCATTGACAATCATGAGATGCAGCAAAATACAGAAGTTAACTCGATTCACTGCAAGTCCAAAGATTAGTTGGTAGATTTACGTACAATGTCGCTTCCAGTTAAAGGTTTACAAGGCACAAATTCATAATTTCTAGCTTCAAAAGCAAGGAGGAGTGTTAGAAATATGCTTTAGAAGCTGCTCTCAGTAAAATTATTTTGTTGTTTCTAGCTTAAGAGTTATTTACTGCAGTAATTTAGTTTGAATTTGAAATAATTTTGAACTAGTCTTTAGGAGTGAACTTGTCTCTAGGAGTTTGTTATTTTCAGCAGCTTTTGTGTTGATTTTTAAGTCTTTTAAGTTAGTATTTATCTTATAAATTGTAGTCCAAATACAATAAAATAATATAGAATTTTCAGCTACAGTTCCTTTTACATCTATTCGAGTATACTCTTTTTATTTTCTTGTAATCTTCCCCTATTATTTCCCTTAATTTCTTTTATCAAGAACCAACAGATTAACATAGAGCCTTCAAGGTCGGAAATCGTACACTTTAACTCTTGGTTGGATTCTTATTTCCACTTCTCTTGATTTTCAAGGGCGGTCCAAGGGTCAAGCCACTAAAGCAAAGGCTTTAGGCCCCCAAATTTTTCTTTTTATTTTCTACTCGTATTTGTATTGAGCCCCCGACTAATCTAGATTCGTATCGCATAAGGCCTAGTAATAGAGAGAACATGTTTTAACATGATTTATTTCAAGCATATGACTCGAACCCAATATAAGGTAAGTTGGATCATATACATCTCACAACAATCTTTAGAGGTAGGGACTAAATATATTGGGTATATTAAAATTAATAAAAATAAATTATTTTATAAAAAGTAAATATAACTTTAATTTAGTATTGATGTATCCATTTAAGCAAAAATTGGAAAAAGAGAATCACTCCCCCTAAATCGTCGTCACGAATATAAAACTTTTCATTATTTAAATTTGACAATTGACATCATTAGTGAGGTACCTATATTATTATTCTCCTTTTACATTTCTCACTAAAAACGTGCAATTCAATAGTCCAAGTCTTATTTTTTATCTTTCTCATCAGAAAAATGGTATTACATTCTTATATTCTCTTCTTGATTTCTACAAAAAAGCTTAAGTTCTCGATAAGTTATATTGTTCTCTGTAGAAAAAAAGAGTTTTATTTTTTCTATAAAAAACAAGAGTTGAAGAGTACCGTTGAATAAAACTATATTGCGCATTCTTTTTTTTCCTTTTTTCCCCCTCAGGTTTCAAGCATTTCAACAAGTATATATTAGAACATCAAAAATTATTTTGATATTAAGTTATAAACTTCTTGAATCTAGTTCAATTATCTAAGATCAATAATATCTTAGGAGAGATTAAATTATTTATAAAAGAAATTATTAACAACTTTACATCTTAAAAAAATAGAAAAATAGACTTTCATTAAAAATATAGATAAAAAAAAAATTCCTTCTAATAGGCCTTTGATTAAAAATTGGCTTTAGGCCACTAATCTTCCTAGGTCACTTTTTAGTATTTTATGCCTAAACTTCATTATGTTGTTTCCTAATTTCTTGTTCCTCTAGATTTTAGAGGATGCTTTTAGGTAAATATGATCCACAAAGTTCTGTTTCTTTTTAATCTTGCTATGGTAAACCCTGTCCCTGTAGGTTTTGTTTTTTGCTATAATCTTTCTAAACTTATGGTCAGTATGCTGATTGACTGCTTACCTTTGAGTTATCCCAAAAAAAATTATTTTTATCTTTGAGATAAATATGTAAGTTATGCTCCAAGTTACTGAACGATGCCCAGATGTCGTAAACATTTCAATCAATTCAATTCCCATTAGCATGTTGTAGTCTTTCTGTAGTTTATGTGTTGAGATTAGGGTTAAAAAAATATGCAAAATAGGATAGGTTTTAGCATGATTCCATTGTTCTTTCTGGGTTTTTTTTCCCTGCTTTTGATTATTTTCATATGGAATGCTTTTCTTGATGAACAAAGCAGCACTATCTTAGTGCTGTCTCTGGGGTACAAAAGTTTGGCAAAATCTGTCACTATCCAATCCCGCAAAGAAACATTCTTGAAGTTGCACCATGTAGCTAATTGACTTAATTATTAACTTTGTTTTAGGGAAATTGATTGACTCTAAACTCTTGAAACCATGGTGTCAATTCTCAAAGTGATGCTCGTTGCATGGCTACATTCCTCAAAATGCAAAAGCTACTAATTCAGCTTTAGGAAGCCCAATTTGAATATTGTGAGTTGTGAGTTGTGACATACGAGCTAAGATTGATTTGATTCTATCTTCTATGTTCTGGTTCACCTATGGGCTATGCCCCAGCCAATTTGAATCAGCCCAAGCTTTCATGATTGTGCTGGATCTTCTTCATGTAATTAATTGGGCTTTTTAAACTTTTAGCCCGCGCCAGAAATTTTTTATATTCAGTAGCCGAAAAAGAATATAAAATTTATATAATTTATGTATATAACATAGTATACAAAAAATATACATTTTTTCGGCTATTATTTTGAGAGTGGTTATACATTGTCATTTTCTCTAATTAATTCTTAGGAAAACTACTTTCCTTCATGTTTCACTTTGGTTCAAAAGTCAGTTCAGATTTTATAATTTGTGGGTTCAATTTTATTTTTTTTACTGTTAAATTTTGAAATAATGAATTAAAACTTTTTTTAAAATTAATAAATTTACACACACACACACCCACACACACACACACACACACACACACACATATATATATATATATATATATATATATATATACACACAAT